CCAAAAGCTGCACAGAATAAGAGAGCATTTACTTCCCTTATGTGTAAGAAGACCTTGGAATTTAGCTAGCTGCCAGACCGCTGACTGAGGTGCCTACCATGGTGTGCAACTGTGAGGGGCTAAAAAGGCAAAAGGAGGTTGTAAAAGTGCTGTTTAACAGGCCACCCAGCTGACAGGCACTTGTACGTCTATCACTATCTCCTGTGTCCTATTTGAATGTGCTCTGCTGTATTTGGTGTCATGTAGGAGATGGGTTAAGGGGCTAGCATGCCTGTGGTGTTTGTTGGGGAAGGGAGGTCTGACCCTGTGTGGTGAGACATCTGGGACTATATGGTGGCATAGAGAGGGCTATTTCCCTTTTTTTGTCTTTCCTTTCATCTGCTGCTGGGGTAAAGTCATTTCTCTACAGCAGATCTACACAGTTACAGATGAAGCTATCCATGACCATGCGAGGCATGTTGAAGAAATGAACTCTTTCAAAGCACGGGATATACTAAACCTTAAGTGTCTCATTGTCCACTGTCACTGAATGTGAACGGTGTTTCTTTCTATTCTCTAGCATTGTAGTGTTCTCTCCCACCCTTTACTGCTCATTCTGTGCCATGTTTGTTTTTCTTAAGTCGTAGTTGTGTTTTTTATTAAAGATGCAGCTGTTGAGGCAAGGGAAAAAGAAAACAAGAGTAAGAAGTTAGCATGAATAAATGTAGCAAAGACCTGCAACTAATTAATGCTTAATACGATCTTAAGGACAAGTAAGAAATGCAGTAAATCTATCCTAGGGAGCTATGCAAATAAGGCATGTGGAGGAAAATACCAGAAGCAGCCTTGGAGCTAGGTGAACAGGGTAACTGTAGCAAATAGACCCTTATCTTTCACTCTAAGTGTTAATGGATTTTCTCCAGCTGAGCTTAGGCTGTTTTGTACTTCATAAAATTTGCCTGCACAAATGTTCTCAGAGTGCCTTTGAGAGCTGTGTATGTTGCTGTTCACCAGAAAAACGGAGTTCAAATTCCTCTGAGCAAGTGAACCTGCTGTGGGAGTGCGGCCAGGTGCTCAGACATAGGCTGACATGAGTTTCTCAGGCTCAGTTCTGCTGTCGTTGCTGTGAAAGCAGTGTAAAGCATGTACAGTGTGTGTGTATGTATGTAGTTCAATTCTGCACTGATTCAGAGAGTTCTTGTCCCGTGCACATTTCTGTATTGCCAAACAGGTATCCATGGGTGTGTGAGATCCTGTGCTTATTTATCTGTTGTATAGATTGAGGCCAACCCCTGTGGGGGGGAGGGGGGTGATTAACTACACAACATACATAGCAAGGGTCTCTCATACCACAAAGTTAAGAAAAGACAGAACATGAGAACCAGCCAAGGTAGGATCAGGAGGAGATAAGTGACTACACGAAGAGCAAGCTTTCTGTCTCTGTCCTCATTTGTAGAGGCTGCAATTTGTATCACTCATGGAATGGATAATTAAAAAATAGCATCGGGGTGTAAGCCAGTGAAGTTTTCTAACTTCAGCTTATATTTGCTAGGGTGTCATACTGAGTATTTGTTAGACTCATGCAGCAAGAAGAAAGGTAATTGTTTAACTAAGTTCAGTGGCTGTAAGTCAAGGGGGTGGTTTGCACAGGTTCTGCTATGGGCTTTCTGTTGTTGTGTGTGCCAGATATCTCTAATGTAGTTGTTTTCAATTGCTTGTGGCCTCATTTAATGTTTGCTGTTGGTGTGTGTGTTGGTAGGAAGGGCTCTGTGGAAATCGACAAGTGATCATGTAACCAAGTACCTAATCTGTGTTTGCTTAGCCTGATATGTCATCAAATGCTTCACACAGTGTGCTTATAAACAACTAAAACACAAACTGGGGTCTCACACCCTAATTTTGTCTGGGAGGTTGGGCCAGGGACCCAGGCTGAGCTCCTGGCACTCAGCTATTGCTGTGTATGTAAAAATGAATTTAGGCTCTTTATTTGGAGACAGTCGACTCCTCTGAAAGATAGTATGTATATTTTTACTTTACTATAACATACATAATAAATCAGAGTTATTGTTATCTCTTCTGGCATTTCCAGAACTTCCTGTTCTACTCTTAATAACCAGAATTTGAAATGCAGTTTCCATCCCTCCAGGAGGGATGGTGAAGTGCATTGCTTCAATCCAAAATAAGAAGCTCTGCAGTACCAAGATGCTAAAGGGTGCTGCAAAGGTATGTCTGGACTGCATTGAATCCCTCTGGGATGTATCATGTGCCTATATACACTCCACCAAACTGTGTTACTCCTGATTGCCAGTAAAATGTCAATGGCATTTTATCAGTACGTTGTTAATTCAGGCGACTGGCATGGATTTTCAGGGGTTATTCAATCACTCCAGCATTTTGAACCTAACACATTAAACTTGCAGTAAATCCATCTTTGAGATCTCTAGTGTTGGCTATGAAATGTGGTTGCTGCTTGGTGATTGCTCTCTTGTTCAAATGAATTTGGTAGGATAATGTTGTAATGCGAGGCTTCATTGCCAAACAGGGGTGTAACCAATCTGTGACACCCTGGCTTTATGCTTGGTTGGCTACCAGCTTTTTGTGTCTAGATTAGAAGTGGATACCCACAAAAATGTTGCATTTTGGTTTTCATCTGCATAGGCAGGAATGTGGCTGTTGCCATCAAATCGTGCATTTTGCTCTTATCATTCACTGATCCAGGCTGAAGAATCATGTAAGGACACAGCCTTCACCATCAGATAGCTTGTCAATCTAACAGCTGCACACATTTAATCAGCAGTTGTTGCTTGGAGCTATACAGAAAGGGGTGGATAATTGACAATACTGGTTTAAAAAAAAAGAAAAAAAACATCAAGAATGAATCATTAGTGCATGTCAGCTCACTCCGAAAGTAATGTAAGCCTTTGTGCTGTATGGATCGATTCAGCACATGAGAAGTATGGTCAGCTCACAGATTTGCAGCACATGCTGGAAGACAAATAAAGAATGTGAGTAGCAAGTAGCAAATCCATGGATGTGACCTCTGTGTCATGAACCTGGAGCCCCTGTAACTTCTGACTACCTGCTTTTTCAGCTTCCATAATGGTCTATTAGTGTAGAATTTGTGAGCAATGCTATAGTACTCTGCCTGTACAAATGCTTTCTTTTCTTACTGCATTAGGCAGTCTATTGTACCTTTTCTCCTCAGTTTGTTCATATGGTTCCTCAAGAGAGCATGTTTTGTTTTTGTCAGAGTTTGTTTCCAAACATAGTGAGATAGGAGGGTGTAGGTATACACTGGTCCATGTAGTGCTGCATGTTTGTCTTGCAGTAAATAGGTCAAAAACTGGACTTTACATTTCAAGGAAGAAGTCACAAGGCTTGTGAAGAGGCCAGTAGTGTCCTTTGATCGTGTGTGCATCTAACAGGCTGCTTAGAAAGCTCTGTCAGCTGCCTAGGCAAATTTAGCTTCGTACTGGAAAGTTGTGTCAGAAAAGGAAAACTGCCCTGGTCACCGCTCTGGAACTTCATTGATCTTTTACTTGCTTGAGTCTTAGCAATTGAATACCTCAAAGACAAAGTTTGAAATGTTTAACTCACTTGGATCTTGTTTACTTTGTGTGCTTTTTCTTATCAGCTGTGGGAATGAACTTGTAAAGACTGCATCCATCTGGGACCCTTTACCCTCACTTGGAAGTGTGCATGAGATACCAGATTTGGGGCTGCTTTCAAAAGCCCTGATAACCCAGCTGCGTGTTTGTTTGATCTTTGTGAGCTGCTGTGACCACTGCTGTGTGATCCAAAACACAGCTATGTCAGATGTTCCATTTGAGATGTGGCCTACTCTTGAACTGTGGAGCACTTAGATGATGATGCGGAGTGGAACAATGCATATATGTATATCTCTCCAGAGCTTTGTGGAAGTGACAAGTGAAACAGGTCACTAGGCCTTCTTTTTACCTTATATGAGCTCTCCTGTAATTGATTAATGCATGTTATATTGGGCTGGTACTTCAGGCTACAGTGAAGATCACTCATGCTAGAATCCACATAAGCACAGAGGATAACATAGACTTTGCAGAGACTTCAAAACACTATTTAACTTATGATGAAATGGATGTTTGGCACAATAGAAGAAGAGAGAGTAATAAAGAGTGCACTAGTGCATGTTTTGATGCTTATAGTTGGCTTGGATTTGGGCTTGGAATCACTGAAAGCTTTATACAGATATTTACTTACAAATAAATACTAGTAAAGCCTATCATACAAAGAGAGAAAACAGAACAATCATTTTTTCTTTCCAAATACACTCACAGAGTATGGGATGTTTGGCCTCAAGTAAAATAAGTGAGAGTTCACTGTCTGAGGAGCAACAGGCATGAACATATGATACATGAAGAATACACAGAGTGGGATATTTCTTGGTAGCCTTCTCAGCTTAAGTAGTTGGATGGCAATTTCATAGAGTTTTGGCATCTTTTTATGGGCATTTTCATCCACTGATAGGGAAACTGTTTCAGACGTGACTGCTTTAAATCACTGCTTGAAAGTGTTGACAAGCACACACTGGGTGAGGTGACAAAGGATCAGGAGCCTCATACTACAGCACAGGCATTGGCTTTTGGACTCAACTCCTGCCTTTGCAAGCTACACAAAGGCTAAAATCGTATTCCCTGAAATGTGAATTTTGCACCGAACAGTGTACCAGAAGTAGAGCTGCCTCAATCAGAGGCTGCAGTTTGAAATGAAGTCCAGAGATTGGTGTGTGGTGCTGGAGTCCCGCTGAGGTGAGCTGCAGCTCTGGGCAGCAGCAGGGTGAGTTACAGCTGTGGGGAAAGGCCTGCTGTGTAGTAGGGTGCAGCTGCTGGGGGGTTCACCCTGGTGTAAGATACCAGACGTGAGGACTACTTCTGATGACTCAGCCTTGCTTCCAACAGATTTTAATACCACGTGTTTAGAAGGAAAACTCACTTTTACATTTCACAGCTCTGTATCCTGACTGCTCTCTGCCTGTTTCTTTGCAGATGGCGAGCAGCCTCTGGGCCCCCCTTCTCTGGTGTGTGTTGGTGGGAACCAACCAGCATTGCTGAGAGGAGGAAGAGGAGCATCGCCCCGTCACAACATGGCCCCACGTGCCGGCCCACCTGATGGTGGCTGGGGCTGGATGATTGTGGCCGGCTGCTTCCTGGTCACTATCTGCACCAGGGCTGTGACGAGGTAAAGGGGCTGCTGCTTGGCTCTGGCCTGCTGTAGTGCTACCTCTTTTCCACTTTCATCTCAACAGTGTTTCTCAAAAGCAGAAAGAACAGGAAGAGACTGCGGCTTTGCACACATGTGATGTGTATATTTGGGGTGAGATGGCTTCCACAGCTGCTGCTGGGTCGCTTTGTTGTTGGCTGGTGGCAGGAGCCCGCTCTCTGTGAGTGTGGACATTGAGCTGTGTTAAGCACAGGCGGGCACTCTGGTGAGGGAAAGAGACTCAGGCAGCAACTTCTTGGCCAGGCAGTGTGACACAAACGCAGCATTTCCTACTTCACATTCATATCATGTTTAGAATAAAATTGCCAGGTGTAGGAATATGAGGAGCTTGGGATAAACGTCACAGAAGGGACATGTGAATGCTGACATGATGGTACTTTCTGCATGCAAACATATCTGTTCCGTAATGCAGATTTCCTAGTGGATTTCTTTCCTTTTTCACATATGAAACGTGAAAGAGCCCAATAAATAATCTGACAAGTGTTAAACATCTGGAGAACATACGAAAGTGAAATATATGCAAGAAAAATACATGAAGAAAGTGCCTGTCCATGTTTTAGAGTAGAAAGAGGGAAAAAGAGATCTCCACTGCTGCTAGTGGCTGGAAAAGAGCCATGCACCCATTCGTCTGTTCCCTGCAGAGGCAGGTGAAACACTAGTGCTTGTGCAGTGAGGTGGAGTAACCACTCCTGGAGATGTTTTAAAGGAGTGCTGGAAGAGCTGTTGGCTCCTGTGGTATTTTTATCCTCTGGAAGTTGTTGCTTTGCACTTGCTACCATTTTTGTACTTGTGCATGTAAGAACATGTAGCTATAGGTGGTGCTGGTTCTGTAGGCGTTATACCACGCCTGCTCTGCTTGCACAGGCGTGAGCACCATTTCAGTGAGCAAGCATGTCAGTCAGGAGCAGGAGCTGAGCTTTGTGTACTAGGGTAACAACATCATGATGTGGCTAAAAATTGCTGGTGATAGTTACAACTTCAGTTTCATTTCGGTTGAAAAATCATATGAGTTACAAAAATCTAGCAGCAAATACCACAATAAGAAATGCAGTGTTTAATATTGATAATCCCTCTGGATTAGTCTGACCTGTCTGAAATATGTTCTAAATCAGCCTAATCCCCCTGTTGGGATCATAGCTGGATGCCATTTTGTGATTCAGTTGTTGCCAATGCAAAGCAAGGATTCTTCCATGCTTGAATCACACTAACATAAGTACTTCATGTAGAGTTCTGTTGAGGTTACTAAACTTGCATGCACCGTTTCATGTCTCGTGTCTCATACATTAATTATCTTCATTTCCAGTACTCCCTTGCAACTCTCTAAAAATATCTCCTTTCAGTTGGGATCCAGGCAAATCACAGATTTGATTGTTGATGGAGGCTGGGGAAGGACTTTCCAACAAGTTCTCTTTATCTCTGAAGAATGAGGTTGCTGCTTTCTGGGAGGCAATCTTCAACAATTTGGTGTTTGTATTTTCTTCTTTAGGTGTATCTCCATCTTCTTTGTGGAGTTCCAGGCCTATTTTGGGCAGGATTATGCCAGAACAGCTTGGATCCACTCCATTGTCGACTGTGCCACGATGCTCTGTGGTGTGTATTGCGTTTTTACAAGTAGTATGATTGCCTTTTCTTCAGCTCCATCTGTTTTGGGAGCACCCATCAGCCAGTGCAGTAGGCTGGGGAGAATGGATGCTGTGGCCTCTCAGAGATCTGGTGTATCTGAGCCGTTTCCCCTAGTGTAGTTGAGCAGGAAGAGACTGACTTCACACTAAAGAAAAGAAACAGAATTTTGTTTTGTTAAATGATCTAAGTTTGCAGAAATGTATGAGGTCTAATGGGACAAGTTTTTTGAGAGCTGTTAGCTGAGCACATTTCTTTTGCCTATTGATTGGAATCATATTTGAGAATTAGCACAGACTGTACTTTTTGCCTTTGGAACAAGTCACATCCTCCTCACTTTTAGCCACTAGTGTTTACAAATATTATTTCCCTTTAAAAGAAAATTTTGTGCTACCACAAATTATGTGCATCAGTTCAACAGTTGTTCTGAATTTCTTAGGGTTTTACTTCAAAACTGTGCAATTAGGTGAAAATCCAGGCCCTGATCCTGCTGTAGAGGGGTTAATCCACAGGCACTGCTTTGAAGGCACAGGGACACAGCTGAAATGAGACATAGAAATAGGGAGGGAGAGAGCTGGTGATGACATTCCCTGGTAGAGGCAGGGTGACCTGGGAACTGTCATTGTTGGAGAAGGGCAGGACAGATCTGGTGGCTCTGGGGGTGGTCAAATGGTGTGAGATATTCTCTATGTCTTACACAGTGCCCTCAGAAATGGCACTTGGAGTTACTCAGAGCTGAAGTATGGATTGCAAGTTGAGGAAAGTCTCTGCAGTTGTAAGCATGGATTAAAGAACAGCGTGGGCACTTGTAGTTGTTGCTATGGCCTCCCCTGACCCCCGAATATGCAGAGTAATTGTGCTCCACAGTGATTTTGATCTGCTGAAAGAGCTACTGTAAACTTCAGTTTTATCCTGACTTTCAGGAAAATAATTCTAGGTTTTTGATGCTCACCCCATTCTAGTAAGGGAGACTGTTGAAAGGCTATCCTGATCACCATTTTGTCTGACTTCCCTTGATGATTGTTGCAATGAACTGTGTCTGAAGACCTGCTATTAACTGCCAGCTTTGTTTCTTTAAAGCACCGCTTGGGAGTTTAATCAGTAATCATGTATCCTGCCAAGTTGGTATCATGCTAGGAGGGCTGCTCTCATCTACTGGACTAATTCTGAGTTCCTTTGCCACCAGCCTGGAACATCTCTATTTATCATTAGGAGTCCTTACAGGTAGGTGACACTCACCTTCTTGGTCCAGTTGGGAAAGCAGCACAGGAATGTCAAAAATGATGGTGCTCCGTTTAAAGAGGGGTGATCTCCCCATGTCATAGTACCACACAGCAACTTGTTCACCTCATTGCGGAAAAGAGGGTTTGGCTGCAGTCAGTGGGTCTCATGCAGCCCAGATACGGCATGCTGCAAAGCATCTATCTCTTTACCATTGCTCCACTGAGGGCTATGGATAAAGCTCCAAAGTTTTGGGATGTTGGGAAGGATTTTTGCAGTAGGTGATACCCAAAAAGATTTCCTCTTTTGACTGTGATTTGGGAGGAGGTTGTTATGATGTTATTTGCAACTTAAAAATAAAATGTAAATCGAAACAAAATGACTAAGTAGATGAATACCTAGAACCTCAGCTGCGCACCTTATTTTTATCTGCATTATATTCCTCTTAAAAATCAAACATATCTCTGGCTAATGGTAATTCTGTAGCAGATCCTCCATTTGCATTCAGGTATGGTGACAGCAGATATCTTTGCTCTGTCCTATTTTCCTGTGTTTGTGCATTGTCATGCACAGAGGAATATGAGAGGTGCCCATGGTCACACTGACATTCCTTCCTCATTAATACTGACCTGGTAGCCACGTAATATAAGCCCTTGTATTTGGTCCCCTGCTGTTTAGTAATGAGGTGGTGGAATTACTGCAGTTCACATGCTGCCAGCAGCTTATTCAATAAGGATTTCTTCTTGTTTTGTTTTGTTTTGTTAATAGTGCATGTAGTTCCTGCATTACAATGTTAATCTTTTGACAAATGTGTTCCTAACAAATAAAAAAGCTCCTTGTAGCTCAAAAGGACTGTGCCACATACCACCCTAATGCTACTGAGGCTTCCTTAGTGAGAACCACAGTGAATACTGGGTGAAAACCCAATTGCACTTTGTAGATGGGATTGTAAGTTGTCCATTCTGTAAACAATTAATTTCTAGTCTGTAGAGACTGATTAATACAGAGATAACTGTTGGTAAAGGCTGGAGGTGATGCTCCAACATAAAGGAGGTCAGAAAGTAACTAAAAAAAAAGTCCATAAAAGCAGCAGAACTTGAAACTGTGAAGAGTGAAACGGATGAGATGGGGGACTGACTGGTGAGAAACAGCAGAGCTTGTTCTAAGAGGTATAAAAATATTTTCAGTCCCAAACTTTGCATTTCCACTTTTCACTCATTGGCTCGTGGGAACCTATTTTCCCTGCCACCTCATTCAAAACTGAATACACTTGTCATAGCTCCTCTGCCATCTCCTTTCCTCATCCCCTCTAATCCACTCAGCTCAGCGCCTGCCCAACACAGAGAGGCCTTTGAGGAGAACCTTGCAAGCTGTTTATGGCACAGGTGATTACCTTCCCAGCTGACACATTCTGCTGGGGACCATTAGGGCACTTTTAACCCAAATGTGGACATGCTCCAGAACTCCATTCCGGAGCTCATTTTGTTGTCTCATTTGGAAATAAATGTTTTAGCATCGTAACAAACGTTTAATAGTTACAATCTCTCTGGTTTCTGCAGCGAAAGTCGTGATCTTTTCCAAGAGGTGGATCTTACATGTTTACTGGCTTGGACATGGCTTTGTGTTCTGAGGCATTTTTCCTCTCTTTGTTTGTGCACAAGGATTTACAAATGCTCAGGACTCCAGCCAGCTGTTCTGTGGAGTTAGTTGAGCTGACTAAAAAAATTTTAGTGCAGGATATTAGTGACAGAGGTAGACTCCTTGTACTGCATTTGTGATCTGAAAATTAACAGCTGGATTTGCACTAGATTGAAACACAAAGCATTGCCTCATGAACGTGCCCCACAAAGTCTCTGCACAGGGTTAAGACCTTATCTGATATCCAGGAGATGACATGCCATTTTTCTGGTGTTTGATAGCCCTGTTCTTGTGATTAAGTAAACACCACTGCTCCTTTCTGAGCCTTGTTATTGTGGGTTAATACTGATGTGCTAGGTTAAATCAATGGCCCTGATAGTGGAAGGAAGGAGTTGTCCTGGTTTCTTCCCACACTGGACTTCATGATGCAGAATCAGGAAGAATTTACTATTCATTGAAGTGGTAATTGAAGTAAACTATGTGGCTAATTTAATTGTTTTTTATATGTTATGCTCAGAATTAAACCATCTGCACTGTGTTTTCTCTCCTAGGACTTGGATTTGCTCTCTGTTATTCTCCAGCTATTGCAATGGTGGGCAAATACTTCAACAAAAGGAAGGCCCTGGCTTATGGAATAGCTATGTCTGGAAGTGGAATCGGTACCTTCATCCTGGCTCCTGTGGTTCAACTTTTAATCGAGCAGTTTTCCTGGCGTGGAGCATTACTTATCCTAGGAGGTTTTGTCCTGAACCTCTGTGTCTGTGGTGCCTTGATGCGACCTATTGCCCTTGAGGAGGACCGTAAAACTGTTCCGGGACTTCTTGAAAAAGATTATGTCCCTGAAGCACAGAAACAAGACTTGAAGAGAATGTCTCTCTGTTCACCTTTAATCAAAACATGGTCACATGAGTGTTTATGTTACTGTTCATGGAAGGAGTATGACTTTTTACTCATGCCAGGCTTCATGGTGCTAGCAGTGTCTGTTTTATTTATGGCATACGGCTGCAGCCCTCTGTTTGTCTACTTAGTGCCTTATGCTTTGAGCGTTGGAGTGAGCCATCACCAGGCTGCCTTCCTCATGTCCATACTTGGCGTCATTGATATCATTGGTAATATCACCTTTGGATGGCTAACAGACAGAAGGTAATGGCTTATAGCTAAGGAAATGCAAGCTTTAGCCAGTAGGAGGCTGCATGCAAGTAGGGTGCAATGCATATAAGAATTAACATTATGGACATTTTCTGTAGCACATGTAACTTCTCCAGAAAACCAACACACAATCTAACTTTCAGAAATGTTTTGTCTCTTCATTGGCTTTTGCTGGGTGGTTTTTTTTTGTTTGGTTTTTTTTTTTTTTTTTTTTTTTTTTTTTGTGTGTGTGTGTGTGTGTGTGTGTGGTTGTTTTTTCTCCCCTGAAGAAACAAAGTGTTTGTGCAAAGCTCTTGCATTTGACCTTGGAAATGTAACCTCTTGCCCGAGATATGTCAAGCATGATCCTCTGTATGTAATCGCAACAGGACAATTTGTGCCTTTTCATCTCTTCTGTGCTGCTGGGGAGGTACAGAAGTAATGGAGAAAAAGCAAAGGTCTGGCTTACCGTTGTCAGGCATATACTCATAAGGACTGATGTAAAATTGTTGTAAGTTTCTTAGTATACTGAGAGCTGAACATCTGACTAAACTAAGAGGTGTTTTGATTCTAAAAGACACATTATTTTTGTGTTTGTTCAGTTTCTAGGAAAAGTCAATCATTGGTTTTGTGAGACAGGGAGAGGGGGAATTGCCATTTTGCTTAGCTCTCACTAATTCCATCGTTGGAGGGCTGATGTGAAAGATGACAGCTGAGAAAGGTGTGCAATAGCTTGTTATGCATAGTACTGGGAGTGCCTTGCTGAGCTGGAAAGCCCATGAAATACTGCTTTGAGCACTGAAACTTCAGAGGGCTGCGTAATCTTGGCAGGTGAGGAGCTGCCCTCACTACAGTCAGTCCTAAAAGCAGTTTGGGCTGCTGTTCTCCAGGGGTTTCTGCAGCTGTAGGTTGGCATCTATCCTCATTGCCGGTTGAGATTTTCATCTAGAAGCCTGGGTAATAAGATGGATTTAAATTTGAGCAAAATGTAAGCGAGAGAGACTGAATGCTACATAGCAACTGAGGTGCTGTGTCCAGTGATATTCTTTCCTGTTTTGAAATTTGCAGGTGTCTGAAAAAATATCGGTACTTCTGCTACCTCTTTGCTGTAGGAATGGATGGCCTCTGCTGCCTTTTCCTACCAGTTCTCCAAAACTTCCCCTTGCTTGTGCCTTTCTCATTTACCTTTGGATACTTTGATGGTGCCTATGTAACGCTGATCCCTGTTGTGACGGCAGATGTAGTGGGAACTTCTTCTTTATCATCAGCACTGGGTGTTGTGTACTTCCTGCATGCCATACCATATCTAGTGAGCCCACCCGTTGCAGGTCAGTTCACAAATGACTTTTCTGTAATTTTATTACTTTCACCTCTTGACCAAAAGCAGAATAACCTAAGCTTCTAAGGGCTGTGACATTACCACTTCACATCGTGCAGAAATGAAAGATTTCTCTGGAGTTATGCAGTTTTGAAAATGCTAGCTGAAGAAATTCATTCCAAGTTTTGTGGTTTTTTTGTGTTTTTTTTTTTTTTCCATCATGAGGACTTAATCTTTTCATCTCTGAGCTGCTTTGGACAGATGGTTGAGTCAGTTTCACTACTGTTTGTCCCAAGCTCACCCATCATTTTCCCTAACAGTTAAATTGCAAAAGAGTGATGATGGGAACTTTACTCTTGTTATTCTTTGGAAAGCTCTTGACATAGTTTTGAATATTATGGAAAGTTAGAGATCATAGAATCATAGAATCATAGAATCATAGAATCATAGAATCACCAAGGTTGGAAAAGACCTAAAAGATCACCCAGTCCAACCGTTCACCTATTCCCAATAGCTCCTACTAAACCATGTCCCTCAACACAACATCCAGTCTTTCCTTGAACACCCCCAGGGTCGGTGATTCCACCACCTCCCTGGGCAGTCCGTTCCAGTGCCTGACCACCCTTTCTGAAAAGTAATACTTCCTAATGTCCAGCCTGAATCTCCCCTGCTGTAGCTTGAAGCCATTCCCCCTGGTCCTATCACTAATGACACGAGAGAAGAGGCCGACCCCCAGCTCACTACAACCTCCCTTCAGGAAGTTATAGAGAGCAATGAGGTCTCCCCTGAGCCTCCTCTTCTCCAGGCTGAACATTCCCAGCTCCTTCAGCCTCTCCTCATATGGCCTGTGTTCCAGACCCCTCACCAGCTTTGTTGCCCTCCTTTGAACACGTTCCAGGGCCTCAATATCTTTCTTGCAGTGAGGGGCCCAAAACTGGACACAGTACTCGAGGTGCGGCCTCACCAGTGCTGAATACAAGGGAACAATCACCTCTCTGCTCCTGCTTGCAACACTGTTTCTGATGCAAGCCAGGATGCCATTGGCCTTCTTGGCCACCTGGGCACACTGTCGGCTCATATTCAGCCGAGCATCAATCAATACCCCCAGGTCCATTTCCTCTATGCAGTCCTCCAGCCACACCGCCCCAAGCCTGTAGCGTCGCCTGGGGTTGTTGTGGCCGAAGTGCAGGACCCGGCATTTGGCCTTGTTGAAACTCATCCCATTGGCTTCAGCCCAGCTCTCCAGCCTGTCCAGATCCCTCCAGATCTTTTCCAGAGAGCCATGTATAGGTATGTCTTGCATATCTTGTCTGCTGTTCACAGCAATTTCCAATTAATCTCTGTTTCTGAAGTTTTTAATTTAATTTTCAATAGCAAAAGATATTGCAAAAGGAAATGCTTTAACTGATGCATGAGCCCAGGGCGCAGCTCACTAGCAATTTTGGTATGAGGATCTCATGCACACAGTAGTTAAGTTGTTAAGCATGTCTAAAGACTGATGGTGTGAAGATGTTTATGTAGTACTGTGGGGATGACTGCTGTGTTTTTCTTGTGGGTTTGACATCTAAACAAAACCCATAAAAATCTTATATTCCTGCTGATGCTATGGACCAATTTTCTCCCACCCCAAGAGGTAAAAGAATAGTGACAGTGATGTGAGCCTCTCTGGTTTTATGGTATTCATATGTGATAAAATCCCCAAAGTGCAGCTGATCACAGGATTTGTAAATAAAAAAATGTAATTTGTCTTCCTACAGGTTGGCTTGTGGATACAACTGGCAGTTACACGGCATCATTCCTCCTGTGTGGATTTTCTATGATATTTAGTTCAGTGTTATTATGTTTTGCCAGAGTGGCAAAGAAAATGAAGAGGACGCGTTTGAAGTCACTCTCCAACGATGCTCACAGCAAACAGCACATCTGGACAAATGGAGCAATAGCTTATTCTGTCACAGGAGAATTAGACCACAAGGATGCTGAGTTTTTGCCTGTGGACACGAACAGCTACAGCAACAGATGACAATCACTGTCAAGATTCAGTACTGTGCAACTACGATGAGACAGAGGAGACTGCATCATGTTGCAGTGCTGAAAATGATAGTCCTGTGACACAAGGCCAGTTAGATATTTCTATCATGTTTTGATAGGCTAGGATCTGCAAACAGCATAGGAAGTTGAAGCAGTAGTAGATCAAAACTATACTGAGAATAGAGTTGGTAGATAAAAGTTTCAACAGATTTAGTTCTAAAGCAGTATGTTGACTCCACAGGTAACCTGAAAAAATATAATTGGCTATGATCAAAAGAAAACAATAAAGTAATCAGTCACCAAAGATGAAAAATAATGTTTAAATTATTTTAAAAATATTATTAATGAAATAGACATTTCAGTGTTCCTGTCTGTTAGTTTTCAATGGAGTAATCACAGGTGCCCCTCCATTTTTCAGGCTGCATCTCTTTGCCAATGACTGTTTTGAATGCCAAAGTCATTTTTTAGAAAATCTGACAGAAAGCTGTGATTTATGCTGAAAGTATATCTGAAGCAGCTTTAATTTCTATAGTGTGCCTGAATCTTGTTCATACGTTGCAAGTTCATTTCAAGGGTGGCTTGAGAGCTGCTTTCCCAGTCCCCCTGCAGCAAAATGTTCAGGTGGTTTGGTTGCTGGTGGTTTTTGGTTGGTTGTTTTTTTCTCTGGAAACCTCTAGAGGCTGAATTTCTGAATGTTGACATTCCAGGTATGATCCTCCAGCTGGTGTTTTCTGAGTGGGTGTAAGAGGGATCATGGCTGCTCTGCCATCTGAACATCACTAGCTTTTAGGAAAAATTAGATCTGCGCAGATTGGATCTGAAGCAGATTATGGAGAAGTAATAGCTCACCACACCAGCTATTATTAAAGAGAATGTTGGCTGACAAATTGCTCCTGTGTACTGCAATGGCCAGAGTGCCCCTTTTTTGCATCCAGGAGCTGTATCTTTAGATGATTCTACTTACTCACTTGTACTGACTGATCAGGTCACTTGTTCTGGACAGAAAGCAACAGCTGTGATTTGCCAATGATTTCCTGCTACTTGTGCTAGGGATATTTACTACAACTGGCTACTTTGTGAGACCTGGAGACTGAATGTAGCTCATAACGCAAATTACTGATGGTCAGTTCGTTAAAAATGGGATGCTTCTACATTTCCTTGGTGAATCCATTAAGAGATGGAGAAACTTCACATTCTGAGATGAAGATTTTTTCTGTTTGATGATGTATGAAGCTGTAGTCTATTCATTAGCAAATTGATTGGAGTCCAGATAAGTTTCATTAATGCTGTAATGTTGTTGATTGCCTGCAGTACGCTTGGTGTTTGCTGTTGGTGTCCAATTCCATTCTGTGCCTCAAGAGGGAGACCAACGCGGGCTGCAGTTCACGACTTTGACTTAGATAAGAGAACAGTCACAGGGTCATAATGTATTTTATATCTATCAATACTGTGTGTATCAATTACTTTTATTTTTCATGCATATTTCAAATACAATGCATTAAAACTGTTTGACTTCAGCTGTCTGTGCTCAAAGCATTTACCAATCCTGCTATGCCCCACTATGGTCAGAGCAAGTAGTGTGAATTCCTGCACAGACCGCAAATTAAGAGGTGAGAGTGCCAAAGCTGTTTAAAACTATCAGCACAACCTTTCTTCAGTTCTGTGTGGCAAATGAGTTTGAGGTCCTATGTTTCATTTTAACGTACGTTGATAAAAAGACAAAAAAAAAAAAAACAACAAACCATTCAGTATTTTGTGAGTTGGACACAATATGCACACTTGGAAGAAAGATGTTATGTGTATTAGTAGTGATGAAAATATTGTTTTAGATTCCACTACAAATGTTTTGTATTAAAAAAATAGGGAGTAGTGTGGTCTATAAGAGATTATTTCAGCAATTTATAAGTGATCAAACACTCGTTTTACAAAAATTTAGTTGTTTGGTTTTCTTTACCACATCATGATATGTCAACAGTTGTTGGTGCCATGACTGCATGTTATAAAAGCCTGTTGGAATAGTGCTATCACATTTTGATATGGGTAAATAATACAAATTTGGTAACAAATTATTAGCATACGGGGATTGTCTTAAACAATTTCAAGATATTTTTTCATAGGGTTTCCTGTTTATAAACATGAACACTCATTTATAATCAAGGCAGTATTTATTGTTTTAAATATCAATTCAGCAGAAAACATCCCATTTGTTTTATACGCAGACATTTTTTGTAGAAAATGGTAGAATCATTTCAGGGTTTCTAGCGCTGTTTCTGCTTTGACCTAAAGGCATAGGTACCAGAATGATGCTTTCTGTGCATAAAACTAAGTATAAAATATCAGCCCTGTGGTGAAATTCTCCATCTAAGAAACTCAGAAGGGATGAGGCAAAGAAATGGAAGTGGAATAACTAAGAATACAACCCAAGATTGCAAATCCTCACGACAAGCTTCTACTCTTTGCTCTGCAGAAACAGAAATGAACTTCTCCATTCTGACATGTGAAATGGATTATAATACTTTTAAAAATCAGTAATATATCTGCAACATTTTTTTCTTTCTTTTTCTTTTTTTTCTTTTTTTTTTTTTTCTTTTTTTTTTCAGAAATGATGCTATTCATGCTGTTCTCATACAGGGTACAATGGCAGGGCACAATGCGGCAATAGGCAGATATTGGGCAAGTTGTGAACAGAATAACACTGCATTCCCACCAGCACTATTGAGCACCAGTGGAGGATATAACCTTGGATGGGGCACTGCATTGCTGAACCTCTCTGGCTGCCCGGAGCTTGGCTGGGGCAACATCTGCCCAAGACAGAAACAGATGGATCCTACTGCAAATGAATCCTGCCTGCAGTAATGCTGCATTTTGTGCAGCATAGCAGAACTCAGTGCAAGTAAGTGCAGAATATGATTTCTAATTGGTTTTATAGCTGATAATTTTTAGCACTGCCAGCAGTGCATAAAGAACTTTGAGACACTCAGATGCTAACAGCCTTTATGGCCCTGTGGCATCTCCATCTGCTCCACAACCAGTGCTGTTTGCAGCCAATGCCCTGGGCAGCCCCCCGTCCTGACGTATGGGCAGCCCTCTTCCAGAAGCACCATATCATCTTTGAGCCCATTCTGCCCCAGCTGCAATGGGAGCTGTAGGAGAGCTATGTATGAGGCCAGGTGGTGGAAGTCAGTTGTAGCAGAGAGCCTAATAATCTCCACTCTCAGCCTGTATGGAGTGGATGAGGAGGCCCTTACCCAGGTGCTGGAGCCCAACCTAGAGCACCATGCATGACTCGTGTGTGCCATCATTGTTCAGTTCCGCACTGAAGAGGCCCCTAGGCTGCTGGCCTGACAGGATGCTGCACTGTTATGAAGCAGGAGGACAGCCCCATGGTTGGAGAGGGACCTTCAGCAGCCCTTCAGACTGCATCTTGATGAACTTCCAAGTACATTGGACACCATTCTTTGTGGAGGCCCCAGACATGCCATTTGTGCTGCCATCCCTGCAGCACAGCAGGAGCCCCCTGAGGAGCCTGGGAAGGGGAGGCAGCAAGTTCCTCTACTCCTGGCCAGGGCAGGGACTGCTTGCTCAGAGCTGTGTTGTCCTCCAAAGATGAGGGCCAGCAGCTTCAACAACCCTGCAGGAGGCCACCCTTCGAATGGCACTTAGCAGGGCTACAGCTAAAGACAAAAACAAAAAACAAATAAACAAAAAAGCCAAAGACTACAGCACAAAGTATTGCTCTTAGTCATTGCACAGCTGACGTTGTTTAGCACAGAGGCTGCTTTTCCCATGTTGCTGATGCCTTCCCCTGCCCTGTCTCAGTGAGACAGCCTGATAGGGAGCACAGCCAAGGGCTCCAGGACCTGAAGTTGTCTCAGTGATGTTTGCTCCCAGCAAAAAGCCTGCTGAAGATCTGAGGGCTTGCTGAGGATGCCTGACAGCCTGGGAAGGATCACAGCTAGGACAGCTGATGCAATCTGACCTAAGGGATGCATCCATACTGTGTAACATTGTGCTCAGCAATAAAAACTGGAAAGGGTGAATTGAGGATGGACTTTGCCAGGGTTGCTGTTGTTCAGGGCCTAGCTGGACATCAGTCAGCTGGTGGTAAGCAAGCGCTTTTTGCATCACTTGTTTTTCTTGGTTTTCTTTTACTTTTCCCACATTTTATGTATTAAAGTGCCTTAATATAAACCCATGTTTCCCAGTGAACCAAACGGACAAACAGTGGTTGTTTTTATTGTTAAACAACATACAAGGTAACAAACTAAACAAGTCAACACAGTTTTTTTTCCTAAATGACACCTAAATGACACTAAATGACACTATTTGAAAAAACAACAGAAATGACCATGTTAGTATCAGCATGCCTTTCAAGCGGATAGGTTAAATGTTATAATATTATGGTTCTCTTTCCTCAATAGAAGGTGAGAACTGTTTTCCAGCTTAGGAGCTTTATGTCCTGCAGGTACTCATAGACAACTTTCATATCAGTATTAGCATGGCAGCCTAAGGTAGCATGCTTTTTGGCAATGAACAGGCAAGCAAATGCACAATCATCTTCTGGTCATCATCTGCAGATTCTGCATTATCATAGAGGAGTGATGCCACCGGATTTTTCAACTGGTTATAACCCTAGCCTTAAAAAGTGAACAAATGCATTTATATTTTCTCTTTAAATGTGCTTTTGTTGTTGTTGAAAGGGATTTGGGAGTGCTTCAACTTGAGAGGGAAAGTCGTAGCTCACATAATGCACTCAGATATTCTTCATTGTCAGGATTGTATTCATTGGCTTTCTCATAACATTCAATTGCTTCAAGCTTCTCACCATCTAGTTTATGAATATGTCCAAGTGTACTGAAATCCTCTTCACTTCCTAACCCTCCTTGAATTCTCCTTTCCAACAGTCTCTTCAAGTATTGTTTGATCTTTTTTGCAAAACAATGATTACCATTTTTTAACCCTTCTTTGTAATATTTAATTGCTTCAGATTCTGATTTCTTTTTATATTGCAGAAAATTTCCATAATAGTAGCATATTTCTTGTTTATCAGAGCAAGTCAGAATATTTATCTTCAGTGCTCTCTGAAATGTCTCTTCTGCTTCTCGATACATCTTTGCCTCTGCATACATCCTTGCCAAATCAATTAAGGCACTAAAAAATTTTGGCTTTTGTTCAGCCACCACTTTGAAATGAGAAATGCAAATTTGAATGAGTTCTTCTATTTGATCTTGAGGTGGATATCTTGTACTGTTTTTCAACTCATACAGCTTTGCTCTGTAGCAGAGTCCTAGCTGATGAAGCAAAAAGGTGGATTTTGGTGATATTTCCAGGGCTCTCTCCAAAACTTCCTGTGCCTTGTCCAGTTCTTTTTTCCTTCTGTAAAATTTAGCAGCATACCTC